GGGTCTTCATGAATCATGGGTTTCTTATCTGCCACTGTGGAAGCACAGGGTGTGCTTACGGCAACATTTGTAAGTTATTATAAAAGTAATACACTGAAAAAAAGAGGTGCCAAACGAAACTTTTGAGGTTCCGTGGAACTGTACGATACTATTTAGGTTCCAGTAGCATTCTACGAAATCTATGTTGGGTTCAGAAAGAAACAAATTTTAGTATAAGACTTTTTTGAAATTCCAAATTAAAAAAGGTTCCGTCAAGAACCCAACTGAATTTATATTTCGTGAAAGGTTTCGTGATAAACTCTTTCGAGTTCCGCAAACAGAAAGGTTTCGTGATAAACTCTTTCGAGTTCCGCAAACAGAAAGGTTCCTTAATAGACTTCGAGCGGGAAATGCAGTCATCACTCGTCAGATGAAAGCGACCTCTGTTGATGTCCTCGTACATGATAACAACAACACGGCTAATTATCCAGCTAACCCGTGCTTTATTAGTTTCCCGCATTCGATTTTCACTGAATCCTATTGATAACCATCTCCATATTATTAAAACTACTTTCTATTACATTCATCACTGGTCTTTCTCTTCCCTACTACATGTGATTCTGATAAAAAATTACACTTGATTTACACTTTAAAATTCTTCCGTCTATCTTCCGGAGAAACAACCATTTCTTCAACATAAAACTAACTGCTATATCATATTCTTTATTAGGCTTCTCATTTGATTTAACATAAAACAAATTTTTAGCGAGAAAATCATCAACTCTGTTATGACACTACCTTCACTGTTCAAAAACTAAACTCCTGATCTAAGTAAACCACAACCACTAAGATGTATGTCACTAACTGTTTTATTTTCCTATTTGAATGATTTCCTTTTTAAATATTGATTCTATTCTAGTAATTTTTGAAAACGATTTGTCACATTCAGCCTCAACTGTTGTTCCTGGCTTTTTATTGTTTGAGTAAATTAACCGCTCGATATACAACAACAACTGTTTCACGTACGTGTGTTGCTACCTTTGTGTCTTCCTATTTAAATGATTTCCTTTTTGAATATTGATTCTTTTTTTTTAGTAATTTTCGAATGCAATTCGTCACATACAACGTCAACTAGTGTTCCTACTATTTTTTTAGTGTTCCGACATATAAACTGCTTGATATACTACAACAACAACTATTTCACGTATGTGCATAACTACATTTTTTTCTTCCTATTTAAATCGCTTCCTTTTTGAATATTGTTTCTATTTAAGTAATTTTCCAATATATTCAATTCTTTACTCTGTTTATAAGATCAATACGTAGAAAAAAATCACGTTTGAGCACTATCCAAAATAGAATATACTGATTTTTTTAAAATTGAGATTCTTGGTAAAATTCTGAAATAAGTATAAGCTACACTAAAAACGAACGAATTTATTTATCTTCTATTTTAGTTCGCTCTAAATACAAAGACCATGATTTTCCATTATCATAATTACTATTTTTTCTTTAGGTTCGTTTGGATGCTTTTCTTGATAAGTTAGGATCACAGCAAATAGTTTTTACTCTCCTCAGCTTCAACACAAATTTCAAATTGGTAAGTTATTATTACAAATCACCAAATCCCTTTCTTCACTTTAGATTTGTTCACAATTCTATTACTGATAAGTTGCGATTAAGTGGAATAAATAGCTCTATTTTCTATTTCAGTTACTTACGAATTCTAATATTGGCAACTTTCATTAAAATTAAATAAATTACTTCGCATCTTCAATTTCCTAAAAAATTCTAAAACAACAACTTTTCCTTCCAAAAAAGTACACTCGCTAATCTATTACATTAGGTTCTGATGAATTCCATAATTGATAAGTTATCATGAGAACTATCCATTCTTTTTTTTAATATTTTAGGTCCTGGTGAATTCCAGTATTGGTCAGTATAATGAGAATTATTCTATTCCTTTTTCTCTATTTTAGGTTGTGTTGAATTCAATTATTGGTAAGTTATAATGAGAATTATTCTATTTGTTTCTTTTCTGTTTAAGGTCGTCACGAATTCTACACTATTAAGTTGTTATCTGAATTAATGAATCTGGTTATTTCTGATTTTGATCATATGGAATTCCATTATTGATCAGGTGTGATCAAACTCACCTAATTGGTTCATTTTCTGTTAAGAATCTTGCTGACTACAATGTTCGTTTCGTTATGCTGACTGGTGTTGGAATGGATAGAGCGCATGTTAGGCTCATTTTTCTGGAACGAAACCGAAAGTAGTGGTGTTTTCAGTAATGATGGACGAATCTGAATTCTTAAATAAATGACATTGGTTAGCTTAGTAGACGATAATCGAAATGTTGTTAGAGGCGTGCGAATGTACGGCTAATAGACTGATATCGTCGATCGATGTCGATTTTCACTAATCTGGAAATTCAGTGGGTACGAAAGAGTCTCCTATATTGTAGATATGAAAAACTGCAGTTGCAGTAGAATATTTGTTTTGTTAAACCAGCCACCAATATCGCTCAGCATATTTTACGGAACCCTGTATACGAAACCATTTTTTCATGTATAAACTTATGGTCTTTCACGGAACCTAATTTCTACGAAACCTACAAGGGTTTCGATTTCGTTTCAAAAATCGGAACCTTTTGAGGTTTCGTTTGGCACCTTTTTTTTTCAGTGTATTACTTTTATAATAACTTACAAATGTTGCCGTAAGCACACCCTGTGCTTCCACAGTGGCAGATAAGAAACCCATGATTCATGAAGACCCAATTTGTTTTTCACAAAGGAATGAATCTATCATATCTTTTAAGCTATTCCTTCACACTAATTTTTGTTTATACATATAACTTCACTCCTGTATCGCAATATAAACAGTCTTCCAGTTACTGTTAATGCATTTCCTATAACATCGGAAATAGAAAGACGATGATTCTTTTGTGCTCTCCTTTCTAAATTACAAAAATCGTACTATACTATTACTCTCCTACATTTCATTACTCATTCTAATTAATGATTTCTGAAGTCAGTTGAACTTGGATTTTTCTGTATTTTATTTCAAATGAAAAAAATTCTAAAGATCCAAGAGTATTGATTAGAGAAAAAATTAGTATTTACTGTATTTCCTGTCTTTGATATTTGTATTTCAAATAATTATGGATAACTAGTAGTTCAATAAATAGATTGAACTAAAAATAACCGAAAAGCATGTATATTTTACTTCCAATGGATGAATTAAATCGAAGTATTAACAAATATATTGATAATCTAGAAACATATTTCATGTAGAATACGTTGAAACGAAAACAATCTCCGCTTCAAAAGATATTACTGAGAATGAGAAAAATGTGATTGGTTGCTTTCAATAATGAACGCTCAAACTAGATAGTAAAGTAAGATAAAGTTGACTGATAAAACAAAGTATTATTTATGAACATTCTAACTGTAAATTCACACTACAGAATTCTCATGTATTCTGCAGAATATGATATATGAAGTGATGGCATAATCCCGTTACACCGCGTAACGACTTTTCTATATACAAACCTAAAGAGAAAATTCTCGCACGTACCGAACTTTTCTCTCATATTGAGTCTATTACCTTTACCTACGGCTTCGATACCCAACGATCTAACTGTATGTTAAAAGTTGAGGAATTTGAGTTCTTTTGTCGTATTACCCTAATCCGTAACGACTTTAATAACCAACGATATAACTATACTGTATAAGGGCATTGAAGTCGTTACGCATTAGGGTAATACGACAAAAGAACTCAAATTTCTGAATTTTTAACATATAGTTGTATCGTTGGGTATCGAAGTCATTGCACAAATGGTAGTACGACTTCAGTACCCAACAATATAAGTATATGATAGTTATATCGTTGAATATCAAAGTCCTTACGCGAAGGCTAGTACAACAAAATGATTTCAATTAGCATTATGCCGCTGAAATCTCGATGCTCATTGCAACGGTATTATGACATCTATGCAGATATGAGAGCCTAGAGATCAGTTACAATTACAGTAAAATACCCTTCGTGAGAGCAATCGACTCATCATTTAATGTTGAAAACGAATTCGAAATAGTATATGCATCATTGCTCAGACAACTATTATAAAATCCTGCCTCAATCAAAGAAAAAGTAACGAAAATCGTAAAAAATTATGCAGTCGCCACATTTGTGCTTGAAAGTTGAATCAGCACTTCACATTTTATTGTCTTGAGTTACACATGAAAAGTTGCAGTTTTTCATGGGCTATATTTTGCTGCTAATTTTGTTTTGGGAGAGCATTGCTTTGACATGCTTTTAAAGTAAAAATAAGAATATTTTTCAAAAAAAGTACTTTTTCTGAATTTTTTTAGTAGAAAAGAGCTCCTTATATGATATTTGAACTTGAGAATCATGTTCTATGATAGTGGATTCAATAGACCTAATCGAGATACATTAAATGACACTAAACAAGTGGAATGTTCAATAGTAAAATATGCTGTTTTGAAGTGTTAAAAATAATTCTTCAATATTTGTCAAATTTATGACAATAAATCTGAGGGTGAGTTCAGAGATCACTTTGTATCTTTTGATTGGCTCTGGAGAAAGAGTTAAAAATTGGGATTTAAGAATAACTTTTCACGGGCTTCCGAATGATACCACTTATTCCAAAATGTAAAATTTTTCGGATGCAGCCCTCTATTTAAGTTGGCCGATTTTCTCATGGACCCTCTCTTAATGAGTGAATTCTTTGGGTTGGGTGCATAGGACACAAGCAACCCAATCAGAGCACAACGTCCTCTGTTCACCATATTGTTCCTTATAATTGTTGGAGAGAACACAAATAGAAAGAATGTTGATCAATCAAGTACTTACATAGGTGCTCTTGAAAAATGAAGATTCGGGAAACTAAAATCTTTAATGCGCAACACAAAAATTATTGAACTTTTTTCATATAGCTATTAGGGCTCTTTGTTTGTTTAAAATAAATATGATTTTGCTACAGTACACAGAAGTTATATCTACTATAATTAAAACTGACGAATGGCACACTAGTGATTCGCCAATGGCGAATATACCATTGGCGAAACTGAGGCTTGACGATGTGACAGGAACTCATTCAACATATCAATATCTTTTTTTCTTTGAAACAGCGTCTCAAGATGCAGGGAATGATATTTTTTCCTCTTTTTTTTAAATGTTTCATTTTGAGGCTCGAAAAAATAGATTACAAGTTAAAGTGCTCAAAAAAATGCTTAAGAAAGGAGACTAAATTGTGTAATTAACTGTATAAGAACCTTAAGAGGACTTAATTTTAAGAAAAGGACAATGCAATTCCCTGCATCTTGAAGCGCTCTTTCAAACAAAAAGAAATATTTATACGTTGAGTGAACCAAAACAGAGAATTTTTGAAGATGCGTACCAGAAAATGAAAACCGTGAAAATAGCTGTTAAAGGTGTATAAACTCTGGATATGTTCTCTTATCTTTTTTTCTACCTCTTTTCACTTTTCTGTTTTCTTTCTACTTTCATCATTATAAGTGCGTGTGTGAAAACGTTATAAGATGGTTAGATTAAAATAAATAAAAAGGAAACCAAGCTCGTCGAAACGAGCTAACAATAGCAAAAAACATTTTTATATTTTCTTGAAAAACAATTAATGTAGACAGAAGATATTTATAGAAGTGTTCAAATATTTTTGAAAAAACACGACATATCAAGCAAAACCTTTTTTCCTATCCGAAAGATCTGAAGACAGGCTACCTTTTTATATAATCATTACAATTTTTTAAGTTTCGGCAAATGACTATTTTTTAGGGAGGGAGCCTTAAGACACTTTCTGAATTGTATATTGGGCTCTATTTACTTAAATTAAATAGGTCATTCTGATTTTATGATATATTATGAGGCTCAATATGCTCTAGTCAATCGAAAAAAAAAACATGAGAAAGAAACCTTGGCATTCTGTGAGAAAAGAGAACCCCTATATGTTTGGTGAAAGGTGGTTCTGCATGCTTTTCGTTAAAAATGAAACAAGTTTTGATCTACTTCATCATAACAGCATTTTATAACGAGACAAACATCATATTCGGAATTAGCATAAAAGCTATCTTGAACGAGATGCATTTTACAGACATATCCATCCGGTGTCAAAATCATTCCTGATGGACTACATGGCAAAACTTTGACAAAAGAAGGCTGTGAGATGCTACAGGTCATTTTGCATCAGATGGATATGCCTGTAAAATGTATCGCATTTAGGGTAGTTTTATGCTAATTGCGAATATCATATTCATTTCCTTATAAGACGCTGTTATAGTAGAGAAGATCAAACATGTTTTTTTTCCTTTTCAAAGAAAAAAAAATCAAAAAGATCACCTCCCAACAAATGTATATGGATCCTCTTCTTTTATCAAACAGTAACACTTTATCTCATATTTATTTAGCATTCTGAAGTGTATACCAAGCTTCATAACATATCACAAACTCAAGATGACCTTTGTTAACCCTTTCCGGCTCGCTGTTTGGAAATTGCCGTACCCCCCTAGGGGAAAATGTTGCCATATGGCAACACCGGGCCGGGAAGGGTTAAGTTAAGGATATAATGCTTTATATACTACCAGAAAAGTGCGTCTAAAATTCTTTAAATATTGGCACATTCAAAAATGGCTGAATTGTAAAAGCTCATTAGCTAGAAGATATGTAGTATTTGAAATAGTGTATTGTGTTTAACTTTCCATCCTCTATCGCCTGATATCCTGCTTAAAAGATTTTTTCAGCTTGTTTCGAAATAATCACAATAGTTAGCCATAAGACAAACATCTTCTACATTTCGCATAGTAGACAGTCAGTGCTGCCAAATTGATGTAATCTAACTTACTGACGAGGGTCATAAAGTACTAAATATTCAGGCATGATACTTTAGAAAATGACCTTTCAAATGAACATAAAGAACCGAAAATGAAAAATTCTCGTGGTACTTTGATTCCTTGGATCGGCCCTTCCCTGCTCGCGCTCCGTGGCTTCCTCTTAAGAATTTCGAGCAGCCATCGTAAAAATGTTGCATCACACGACTCAGTAAACAGAAAAAAAGTGATGATATCAGCAATTGTTTTCGTAAGCAAAAGAGAGTTGCT